AGTGCAAGAGGGTGATAAAAGCAGTACTAGCCTTTAAGCTATACGCTATATCTTTAAGTATCGATATAGCTATTATTATATCGACCACTTTTGCTTAAATCACAGCTTAACTAAGAATCCTTAATTTCCTCGTAATAGTATGCACTAACTCTTACTCGCTTTACGAGTGCATAGTAAAGCTAAGAATTATTAAAGAGAAGCGCTTCATAATCGATATTATAGCTATTCGAAAGTCATACGAGAAGCGGGAGCTTTCTAAGGTACGCTAGATCGGAGGAAAATCTAACCCTGGTAACGCTATAATTAAAATCGAAGTTAATACCTCTTTGCAAGAGCTAGTTTTGACTAATACCTTAAAAGTGCAAGTGGATAGATAAGTAGAAAGACTGCTATAAAAGAAAGGAGGAAAGAGATTGTTTTTCTTTTGTTTGATTACATTTGTTTAATTACTTTCCTTCCTTTTTCGGTCGATATAGTAGTTAGCAAAGCACTGCTTGCTAAAGAGAGAGTTGCCGGTGTCGGTATCTCTATATCGACCTTAGTTAGTTAGTAGTAGTAGTAGTTGAGGAGCTTACTCGTGAACCATGGTTCACGGGCCACTTAGCATGCCTCGCTTAACATGTTAGCAGTTAAGGGACCTTAACTTGACAAGTAAACCTATTAGCTAGCTAATGCACGTGATTCCTTCTAATCATATAGAAAGAATCAGCTCCCCTGAACCTTAAGGAGCAGACAGAATTCAAATACCTTATCAACCGAGTGTTTTGCAATTGCAAGTACTTTGACGAACGTTACGACCTTACGAATATATTCCCAATCGCTTGGAAGCAATCCAACAACTTGCTTAATTAGCAAAAATCTTTAATTAAGTTTTGAAATTATCGTCGAGTCTCGAATACTTTAGCTTTTTAAGAAAGCTTCGCGCGAATAAAGCCAATTCCTTCGCTTTCGAATGAAGGTCCGTTGCTTTTAACTTAAGGAAATCGTTTCTATTATCGTTAAAAGCGCTTAAAATGCTATACGCAAGTATGCTATGCTTAATTAATAATTTAATCGATAAAAGGTTACTAATATAATTACTAATAGTCCGTCTTTTTTTAAAGTTTTTAAAAAGCTTATTTCCGGATCCGAAGTCTTTTAAAAGTCCGTTTCCGAATCTTTTTAATAGTTTAAAAAGGCCGTTCTTACCTTTTCCGTATTCGTGTCTTCGATCTTTTTGCTAATCTCTTCCGTTTTTTTTTTCGTCGATCATCGTTAAGATCGCTAAAGTCATTCGGATCACCGGTTAAAGCTTTAGCTTAATAATATCCGTATCCTTAAGCGCGCTTTTAGCGATTTTTATACCTTTAATATCCTTTTTATCGATACGTAGCTTATTAAGAGATTTAAGAAGCTTATCGGTACGTCCGAAAGTGCTAGATCTTTTCTTCGAGTTGCTAAGGTTAAGCACGGAAATCTACACGCTATCTTTAATAAGAGCTGATTTTGCCCGGAATGCTTTTAAGTTTTAGCGGGTCTTTTTTTAGCGTATAGCTCCTGTAGCCTCGAGTATTATTTAGTCCGATAATGATCTTAAGACTATTATTATTATTACTACTCGGTCTTAGCTTTTCGGAAACCCGATTATAGCCTTTAAAAAAAAGATTTAAAAGCCGCTAAAATGATTTTAGCTCTTTTTGTATAATTAGCGTATTGCGTAACGATTGATAAATTAAAGACGTTAAGTACGCTAAAGCGCTTCGTCGTAATCCTTCGTTAGATTATATAGCGTAAGTCCGTAATTCCGCTATTTGCTTTGCTATAACCTTTATACTTCGTTTTATATCTTTTTTCTCTTTTAAAAACTCTCCGCGCAACCTTTAAATCTCTTCTTCCTCCTTTTCCTTTTTTAATACTTTCTTTTCCTTCTCTTTTGGACTTCGTAAAAGTAGTAAAAGTGATTAAAGCGTAATATCTTCGTCGTCCGTAAGGTTTTCGGTGGTCCACTTTAATTCGAAGCTTAAAAGTATTGCTTATTACTCTTTTATTTCTTTAAAAGTCTATTAATACTGCTGCTCGTCGTTTAAAAGCTTAATGATTCTATTAGCGTAACCCTTTTGCTTTAAAAAGCATTATACGCTTTTAAATAGCAAATGTTCCTTAAAGTTAATAAAAGTAGTAAACTTAAAGCTTCGTTTTATATTATCCTCCGTCATCGTAAAGCTCGTTTAATCCTAGCGTAAAAAAGCGTGCCGGAATAAGCTTTATAAATCGTAATCTTTTAGCCTTTTATACTTCGCATTTAAAAAGTCTTTTACTATTGCTCGAGCCGTAATCTCATTATCGAGCTTTGCGTATAATAGCTCGTTTAAGTCAAATGAGATGCTCGATATTTCGTCGTCTGGTCTTTCCGAAAAGCTTAGGAGTCTTAGGTATAGTGTTTTTAGCTGAATAGCTAAAAGTTTCGTAAATGGTGATAAGACTCGAAAAGTATAATACTTTATTGCTTTTTGTCGGCTAGACTCTCTACTTAAAAGTCTAATTGCTCGATCGGCCATAGTTATTATCTGCTCGTACGTAAATCGATTTTATTAATTAGGTTTGCTATATATAGCAAGCGCGGCTCTTATAGCGTTGAAGGTTATTGTTTCGAAAGTGATTTGGTTCGGAATCACTCTTCCGTAAGAATACAAGAAAATCGATAGTATAAGCAAGCGACTTGATACGGAATCGCTCTTTCGTTATAAAAAGAAGGAAGTATCGTATTAAAAAGTATCTTCGCTATAAAGTCTTAGCTTCTTTATGATTGATCACTTAATAATAAATCAACTATTAATTAATATTAGATTGCTTTCAAGCGATTAAGAATATATTCGTAACTTCGTAAAGTCGTTAAAGTACTTGCAATTGCAAAACACTCGGTTAATAAGGTATTTGAATTCTATCTGCTCCTTAAAGAGCTCAAGGGAGCTGATTTCTTTTATATGATTAAAAGGAATCACGTGCATTAGCTAACTAATAGGTTTACTTGTCAAGTTAAGGGTCCCTTGACTGCTGACATGCTAAGCGAGGCATGCTAAGTGGCCCGTGAACCCTGGTTCACGGGTGAACTCCCTAACTACTACTACTACTCCTACTACTACTAGCTAAGGTCGATATGGATATACCGACAGTATACTAAACGAATAATACTTTAAGCGTATCGCCGTATAAAGTAGTTTAAATAAATAATACTTTATAAATACCGAATTGAACTTTAATTAGCTCGATCTCCGAATTAAAATAACGACTTTTTAAATAATACTTATCAAGTATATCGAATAGCATGCTCGACGAATACAAACCGAAGAAAGATCGCTTTTAAAGCAATAGCCTTAAAGCTTATATGCAAAAGCATTTGATTATTAGCTTAGCGTATATCGAATACTCTTCGATAATGCATCGTAAAAGCATATAGTTAATAACTTAGCGTATAACGTAAACTCCGAATATATAGCTTTTCGCAAAGAAAGTAAGTCTAAAAAAAGTATAAAGACTAACTTTTAATTCGATTCTTTACGTAAGTTATGCAATATATATAAAAAAGAAGAGCTCCGATATATACTTAACGTCAAATCAAAAGATATATATAAATATAGTTATAATAAAATCGTAAGTAAATAAAAGAAGAAAAGGAAAACGATCGAAGGACATTCGAATATATGCTATAAGTACGTATATTGTATTATATAATGATATGATGCTAGTTTAAAGAAAAACCAACTACTCGTCTATATAAGAGCTTGCACGTGACCTAACTACGTGCTTAGCAAGGCCAGAGCATGCAGCGCACCCACGTGACAAAGGTGCCTAGCATCAATACTATATATATGGACAAAACAAATACAAAGCCCTAACTCCACCACAATAGCAGCTTTACGTAAGTTACGTATGATAGCCTTACGTAGGTTACGTATAGCAGCGACGTGCGTTACGTACGGCAGAATTGATAGCGGTAGCTGAATTGAGCTTAGCTGTGTTTTATATTTAATTAGGGCCGACCATTTCCGAAAAAAGTTTAATAAATTGATATAAAATAAAAGTCTTAATACGCTTAGAAATCCTGCTAGACCGGTATAGAATACTCTCACGTGATTAGATGATTAACTACAATCACAACTATTAGAATTTATCTTGGGTCATCGTAGGTGACAATAATAAAATACGTACGGCAAAGCACGTGCTATAGCTTAGCTAAGCACGTATAGCAAAAGGACGTGCAGCAAATAAAGATTTACCTTAAAGGCAGATAGGGGGTTATTTAAACCGTCAGCTGACAATCCGATGACGGTCTCTTTAAGAGACGATTCCAAGAGATTAGCATAGCTAGTAGTAGTGGATCACCTTAGGCCGATACTTAAAATTGAGTAGAATCTGAAAACAAACGATTTAAATTATTTAAATCGTAGCTAAAATAAAACTGTTTTAATCGATTAAATCGTTTTTTATAAGAGCTCGTCTTTTCGTTAAAGGATTATTATTAAAATAAGATTGTTTTGATTGATTAAATAGTCGTTTACAAAAGTCGGTCTTTTTACGAAAAGATCGTTTTAAGACCGTCTTATAGCCGTTCTATAGCCGTCCCAAAGCCGTCCCCGAACTTGAAACCGTCCCGGACAACGTTCATTAATAAGCAAATAATTTTTTTTTTTCAATTACTTAGCAGTTGCCAGTCTACCCTTTACTACTTATAGGTATACCACCTAATTATCACACCACCACCTTTGCAAGCACAAGGAGCGCATCCTCGCGGGTGAACTTTTATTAAATCGATCGATTCCGATTATTAAAAATTTAAAGCGTTGATATATAAGCTGTAGCAGCGATACCGAGAAATATCTTGGCATCGAATTTATTAAATTATTACTAAAACGATTTCATTTAAGAAATAATTTTTATTTACAACTATACCTTTTTTAAAATAAATATCGAACTATTTCAATTTTTTAAAACGAGCTTATTAATAAGCCTGCTTTAAAAATATGGACGAGGACGGCTACAGGACGGCCATAAGACGGTCCGAAGCTCGGGGACGATCAAAAAGGTGAATTATTTTTAATTAATAACTAATACTGATTTTAAATAGTTTAATAACCGTCTTATATAAAAGAGGGTCAAAGGACCGCTCAAATGACCCCCTACCTGCCTTTAAGGTATTCCGTATAGCATTTATTAATTAGATTTACTAATCAAATTTATTAATTAGATTTACTAATCAAATTTATTAATTAGATTTACTAATCAGACAGGCTGAAAAGAATGCGAGCCGCAGAGCAGCGATAGTTAAGACCGGACCGAGGTCAGCCAGATGTAGGTCCGAAGACTAAAAGAGATGAGAAACCAAAGAAATAAACAAACAAGTAAATAGAATTCAAACTATTTCTAAACATCATACACGTCTATCTTACATTGTTCTCAAACGTGGTCTATTCGTTTTAGCATCATACTTACCCGATGGTAGAGCGCTCGAGGAAGAGATCGCTAATGCTAAGGCCCGCAGTGCAAAAGAGAGCGTCAGCCCTTTCTCCACGAGCAGTTGGCAGCCAGCAGCAATGGTAGCACTAGCGTATGCGGTGCTGAGAATAGAACTTCGTGGTCGTCAAGGCCTGAAAGTAAGTCAATTGACGAACGAAGTCAAGGGCCTCGGGCAAAGTACTCGGAGGAGTCCGTAGTCGGGTGTCCTTTGCCCAGGTGAAGAAGCGTCGCCATATGAACAGGCAGAAGGCGAGATGCAAAGGTAATTTGCGTTTGCCGCAAAAGCATCTGAGATTATCGTCGTAGTGATTGAACTTGGTATGATACCAAGTGAAGTTGTCGTGCATGGTCCGCAGCGCGAGGAGCCTATGTAAGACATATCGAAGGAGCTGGAGCTCCGGCAGGGACTTGACAGTATAAAGGCTTCGAAGCTATCCTCCGCCGAACTATTCTCCATCCAGCCACGGACGCTTCTCCGTTAGAGCAAAAGTGTCCTCGAGGGCATGCATATAATACCGACTGTCTCGTAAGACATTGATCCTCTATGCGCATCTCTACCATCTCTCTTTAACTGTATATCTCCTTCGCCGAACTATACTTCATCCAGCCAGCCATAGATGACACGTCGACTCTTTGCTGAAACAAATGTCTCCCAGATCATGTAAATCCCGACTGCATCGCAACATATTGATCCTTCTTCCGCATCTCCCAGTCACGAATGCCCAGAGCAATTGCCTCCCAGAGTTTAGAATGTCGACTTCCTCGTAGGATACAGCTTCCTACACGCATCTTCCCCCGTCGAACTGTTCTCTGCCCAGTAGGGAATGCTCAAAGCAAATATCTCCCAGATCGTGTAGGTGCCAACTGCCTCGTAGAACATAAGCCCTCTATACGCATCTTCCTTCGCCCAGCCGTTCCTTACCCAAATACGGAGAACATATCTTTTCCGTTCCATCATTTCCCACGGCCTTCCATCAATACATCTCCTCCGTCGAAGAAACAATTGTCCATCCAACCACGAGCGCCGAAAACATTCGTCTCTTCGAGTCAACAAGTGCCGATTGCCTGGTAGGAAATGGATCTTCTCACGCTGTCGCTCCTACGCTTGCTATACATTGCCAGGTCTCCGTAAATACTCTCTGGAATGCTTCGCAGGATATAGAGGTTCTTCGAGAAGAGGTGGAGCAAGGTCGCGCCTTCTATACGTAAGAGAGCTGGCAGATGTCGCAAGGACGAGAATGGAGCGTTGGCGAGGGCTAAATCAATCGGCGTTATAGCGCTTGATGTAATCTAGGGAAGAAGTAAGTCAGTATCTATTTCAAGGGCTGGAGCTGTGGCGAGAAGGGCTTATGCTGTGCTAGCTAGAGACGGGGATTCTCACGCTATTTACATAGAAGGCCATTGCCGGAAAGTAAAAGACCAGAGAGCTCCAAGCGGCGACATGGGCAGAGTGTATTGACTTGAGCGTTAATATCGACAGAAGATGGCTGCGGCAATAGCAATTGCAGCAAGCACGCTTGCGGCAGTAAAAGAAAAACGAGAGGTCTGCGGTGTAAAAGGGTCTACTTCAAGTTGTAGTCTAAGATGTACGGAATACCTAGAGCCTCGGTCTATCTGCGCGTTGCATTTGCAGATCTTATCACCGGGCCGAGTATTTTCCGTGCTCTATCCGCCATCGTAATGATGGTTCCTCTTCGCCATGGGGTCAAGCCCGAGACCGAGACCGCCGCCGGATATTGACTTGAACATAAAAGATGGCGCAGGTGTGATTGGTCGTTGTCGTGATCGGGTGGGAGTAAGAAGGTGAAAGAATAGGAGTCAATTGTTGATTAGCAAGGAGATACGGGTTAGCTGGATTGGCTGGATTACCGTAGCTGCGTCGTCTGCATTGGCTAAACGTATAGAAGCCGGCACGTATAGACGCTGTACTTTGTTATCAATTGCAATTGCAAATGATGATAAATGCTCGGCAAGGCATAGCGAAAATACTAGGTCGGAATGGACAGATGATAAGATTAGAATTCAGGGCAAAGGCAGTGATGTGCAAATGCTTAGTTTGTATAAGGGATCCTGTACGCTTCGAAATACTGAGACATCGTGTACTCAACCATAACGCGGCAGTACCTAATGAATCGCATACCTTGTATCTTGACAAGGCTTAGGCCATTGCGAGCTTTGCGATTGCAGTGTTGTTGTGATGAGACAGATACGTTTCCGCGTGGCTCTCTTGCCTTTCTCTCCAACTGCTGACCTCGTAAGACCTAGGTAGCGCTGTCCCAAGGATGTATGTATCTCGACCCATTTCCTGTATCCTTTGCCAGCCTTGATAGGTTGTTGAGAGGTTGCTGGCACGATCCATAGCCGCGAATTCGCCTGTAGAATCGGGTGCAGGGCCAGCAGATGCGCTTCCGAATGTGCCCGCGCGGAAATGAGGTACAGAAGGCGCTGGCGCCGCGCGACTAAGCTGTGTGGGAGGTCGATGGACTTATAGAATTCGCGGTTGAGGAGGAGGCAGAGAAGCAGGTGGAGGAGCAGGAGCAGGCGGATGGGCCATTCGTATTGGACGCTACGGAGGTTCGAATCTGATGCAGTTTTGAATGCCCGCCATCGCAGATCGAAGTTGCAACGGCGCTAGCGCTGGTGATGGTGCTTGTAAACGCCGCGTAGCTATGGAAGCAATTGTTGCAATCGCGGTTGCTTGAGAGCGACGAGATCGAGTTGTATAGGTGGCAGCAACAGAAGGGTGAGGTTCAGAAATCCTGCTTGAATGCACTCCGTATGGCCCGAATCTAGGATGCAGCTAGATTAGCGGTCTGTATTTACCTGGGGCTGGTATGTCTGTAGCTGGTCTGCAATACGTGTTCTGCACGGCTGGTTTATATGGAAGTACGTCTGTAAAAGTACGCAGTAAAAGTCTGGTCTGCAAACGAGGGGTATATGCTAAATGATGTATGCATCTGGTCCGGTTGGTATGTATGTAGCTAGTATGTACTGTAAAATCCAAAGAGTGCAGGATGCAGAATGCAGAGTGCAAGCCATTCTGTGCAGGCCGTTTTGTGCAAGCTATTCTGTACAAATCAATCTGTGCAAGCCAATCTGTGCAAGCCATTCTGTGCAAGCTATATACTTTTTATCAAAACCACCACAACAATCATCACAACCACTGTAACTACAACAAGGACCACGCGCGCTAACCATCATACCCTTCCCATTTGATCTCCCCATCTGCTACGAATACTAATCTATTATTCAGAGTGATCAGACGCGCTGACCTTCAAGGTTCCCTCTCCTTCAACCCTCACGGTCCGATATCGTCAATATTAACTCACGGTCCGATACCATCGACATCACGGACATCACTTTACAAGCTGGACGAGCCACAAGGAGTCTAATGGGAAGGATCCTCTTCGTAAAGGACATCACAAGCTGGAGGATTGCATGGGATCTAAGGAGGAGGATCTCCCTTATACTTTTGGCTCTCGATTGATTGATCTCTCAATTGAGAGGAGAGGGTTAAGGAGAAGAGAAGAGAGGGAGAAGGAGAGGGGGGCGGGGGTAGGCCCGGGTGGAGAGGACAGAATAGATAGCATAGGATACAACAATCTGATCAATACCGTTGACGACCTTTTACAGACCAGCTGTATACACTCCGCATATAAGCCCCGCGTTTGTAGGTTAGCCTCGCTTTTACTTTCACAGACCAGTCGTGCAGACCCGCTACATACATACCAGCTACATGTCTCAAGGCAGCGTGGTGCCTTCCCAGGGGAACTTGTTCTGACATTGGTATACGATACGAAGGGTCTGTTTTTGGAATTTGGGTCTGGTTTTACTCATAGTTGCGCGCTCTCTCTTTTTCTTTTCTCTATCTAGCACTGCTATATGCACTTACGGCTGACCCCGGCCGGCCTCAATACTAGTCGCTTTGCGACTCACACAGCCACACTATTAAGCTGGCTACAGCAGTCTGTACCTGGCTGACTTTTTTTTGTGGTTTTCCTTAGACGAGAGATCTCCTTTCTCTATGATCCATCCTATCTATAAGGGAAGGGCGCAGACGATAGTAGCACTCGCTGCAGCACTTTAAATTGCTTTTTGAGGCTGGCTTATAAGTAACTCCTTAGCTTAGCACGTCGCCGTACTTTGTAAGAGGTCCCAGGGCGGCAGGCTTCGCCTGCTACCCGTCCGACGTTAATAAATACAACAACAATAATACCAGCTGCATGCAGACCCGTTACATACATACCAGTTATATGCAGACCCGCTATATACATACTAGCTACATACAGACTCGCTATATACATACCAGCTACATACATAAACTAGCTACAGACACATCAGCTAAATACAAACCCATTACATAGATACTAGCTATTTACAGACTCGCCACATACATACTAGCCATATACATATACTAGGTATATACATATTAGTTATATGCAAACTCGTTACCTACATACTAGCTATATACAGACCCGCTACATATATATTAGCTACATACATATACTAGCTATATACATATCAGTTATATACAGACCCGTTACATACATACTAGCCATATATACATACTAGCTACATACATATCAGTTATATACAGACCCGTTACATACATACTAGCCATATATACATACTAGCTACATACATATCAGTTATATGCAGACCCGTTACATACATACTAGCTATATCTACATACTAGCTACATACATATCAGTTATATGCAGACCCGTTACATACATACTAGCTATATACAAACTCGCTATATACATACTGGCTACGTAGTACATGCAGACCCGATACATACGTAATATATTCTGTATTCTGATTGAAAATTCTATTCTGCATTCTGCGTCTGTACTCTGCACTCTGCACTCTGCACTCTGCTAACTGCACTCTGCACTCTGCACTCTGCACTCTGCACTCTGCACTCTGCACTCTGCACTCTGCACTCTGCACTCTGCACTCTGCATTCTGCACTCTGCACTCTGCACTCTGCACTCTGCACTCTGCACTCTGCATTCTGCACTCTGCACTCTGCACTCTGCACTCTGCACTCTGCACTCTGCATTCTGCATTCTACACAGAATAGCTTGCACAGAATGGTTACGGCATAGTCTGAACGGGATGGTCTGCACGGGATTACGATCTATGCTCTTTTGCAGAGCAGCCTAGTGTTCTCCAATTACACTTTTATAGAATATTTGAAATACTTTTGCGGATTAGAATTCTGCAAATTAGTTAAGAGTAATAGTTAGTAGGCTGCATCCAGACCTGCGGGTTCTGCAGACCAGCTAAGTCGTGCAGACCACAATTTTGCAGACCACAATAGCCAAGCCTTGCAGATCCGCCCCGCTTTGCTAACTTTCACAGACTAGCCTAGCTTTCTTTTCCGCTGGGTCGTCCGTACAACACGCGCCGAGCATTTATCATCCTTTACGTATAAGTGACTCGTCCTCTACAATTGCAATAAGTAGATAACAAATCACGGAGCACTTCCAACAATAAGAACGCAGATATTTCCAGCTTGATTCGTTAAGACCCTAACCTATTCGGCCCTTATTAATCCGCTTCCTGATCATTTCCGACACTTACGACTTGGAATACCAGACAAAGGGCCCACTAGTATTCCGAGCTACTCGACCCGGCGATAGCGTCTGCAAAATATAGTGAGGTTTTATACTCCTAGCATCGCAGACGAGCCGCTTCGCAGACCGGCTAAGCCACTTTGTAAATTAGCCCCGCTTTACCCAACTTGAGCTGTGCAGACTAGCCAAGCTATTATACGGAAGATGCATACCGGTAGTATGGATATGCGAATAGCCCACCGCCTATTATATAGCCCATGTAGCCGCCAAAACAAATATTTAATATCTACTGTCTGCAGTTATGCTCCGCTATATTGATTCATATTATTCATATTAATAAAGACTGAAGAAGAACTTTCCAGATATTATGATTCTGCAAAGACGTATATCTCTGTATGCACCTTTGCATAACCGAGAACGAGACGAATATACATATAAGTCTCGTTACCGGTCAATTAAAAACGATCTTTTGTCATTATTAAACCCAATCCAGCCCGCAGAACACCGTGGCGTTATGGACCGGCGGCCCCTCGTCTTCCAGCATCTCAAAAGCAAACCGTCAAATGACACTTCAAAAGCACTAAACATATCTCTCTTTTACTGAATCTCCCCTAGACCTATCTGACATCTGCAATCCGTCTTTAGCGATCCCTCTTTTCATCTGCAGCCCGGCTAAAACGCTGTGCGAATATCAAGCCCTCCCTCGATCCCAAGCGTGTATTCGTTGATTTAGCACCGAGCGCCGAGCGAGATCCTCCCATCACTTGCTTCTTCGTATCATCCATGACTAGCTGCGATATCATCTTCGTTGGTGAATCATCCATGACTGACTGCGATGTCCTGTTTTCTGACGAATCAGCCGTGTCGAGCTTGATTCTCTTCAAACTGAGGGTGGGAAATTGTGACTTCCTGCCCTTGATCAATTCCCGGCGCATCATTTGTGTAGAGAGAGGGCCAGGCTGTGCTACCGAAGACGTATCTTCGGGCAGAAAGTGGCTAGAGTCCGATTTTTTTAGGCTTGGATCTGTCGTTTCGTTCTCCACTGCAAGCAGAAGGTGGCTGGAATCCGATTCTCTTGGGCTTGGATCTGCCGTTTCTTTTTCTGCTGCGGACAGCAAGTGGATGGAATCCGATTCTCTCGGGTTTGGATCCGCCGTTTCGTTCTCTGCTGCAAGTTTGTCGTCAGAGTTGTCGTTTGTCGCATTTACCGCCGTACCCAAGGGTCCATTCTCATCTTGGCTTCCTTTTGTCTTGCGGGTCTTCCTCTTTCCCATCTCCTTCGGTGTAGCCTCCTTCTGGCTGATGGCTGTCTTCCCTCCCATCTTCTCCAGGGCAGCCTTCTGGCTGGTCGCTATCTTCCTTCCCATCTCCTCCGCTATATTCTCTCTTCGGCCAATATTTTCCTTTCTCGCAGTCTTGGACTCCCCGCGCATCTCCTCTGTACTCTCTTCCGCGCCCCTTGGCTTCAATCTCCTGCCGACGTATGTCGAATAGAGTCTCAGAGTGAGTTTGATTCGCTTCTGGCCTTCGTCGTTCAGCTCGCTGAACTCGGATATCATCTGGAATGCTGCGTGGATCGCATTTTCCACCTTCTCTTTGTTCGGGGACATATGTAGCGCTATCGGCTCCAGGTCTTCCAAATGCTCTTCGAAACAGCTTTTTAAGAGATCCTTGATCTCCCGGAATCTCTTCTTATCCACATCAGCGCCAAGCTGTTCTCGCAAGGCACTATGCGTGTAGTAACCTGGCATGATCGATAGTCGCCACGGACGAGTGGAGTTGGTTCTGTGGAAGTCGTGGAGAACGCGTGCGGATAGTTTCGTCGGCGGGCTTCGTGAGGATCAAAGAGAGTGCTGATTGTGCTGATGAGGTCAGTGTAAGTTTGCAGATGGAGGGTTTAAGATGAGGCTGCTGACTGTGAACTTCGTATGCGTCTTCTTTTAAGCTCCTCAATGGGTATGAAAGTTGTCTGGACGTTTGATAAAGGACCAAGCTGATTGTGCCGATGCGGTATAGGTTGTGTAGATGGGAGATTTGATGCTGAGCGAGAGAGCGAGAAGGAGCTTCTCCCGGGCCGGATCATGTATGATCCCCCCTGTTCGCCTTTTGCTCTGCTTGCCCAGGGCACTTGGTGAAAAGGTGATTCAAAAGAACGAGCGAATACGGACACGATTTAGCTGATAAGAAATAGAGCTCTTATAAGCGATATGATCAGCAAAAAAAGGGGGCTCGAATTCTTTACTTACGATTCCGTGATCGTCTGTATGTTTGTTTCTCCGCTCTTTCCTTCTCTGAGTGTCTGTGAAGTCACGTGTCGTAAGGCGCGATATATAGGCAGAGAAGAATGTGCAAACCGCACCTATCTCAACCTTCTGCAATCAGCTACAGCTATGAGCCGACAATATTCAGCTTCCACGGCTCCTATTGACTACGCCACACTGTTACAGTCCTTCACCCAACAAAACGTACGCATACCCTCACCTTATATCCACCGGCATCTGACCTTGCTAATCAGCACCAGCAAGCTGTTCTGGATGCTCTGAAGCAAAGCGAGGCATGCCGTATGGAGAATGAGCAGCTCAAGGCAGATCTCAAGCAGATGCAGCTAGCATATGCGAAGGAGAGATGGGCATGTTTAGCGCAAGACTTTGCTGCCGATCTGAAAGTCTTCACAATCCACCAAAACATGGAGCTGGAGGTAGAGGAATTGAAAGTTCGTGTTGCTGTATTCACCTTACGGATTGAGATATCTATACTGACCTTTACATATAGCGGATGCATCGAGAACTCGCCCGTTGCTTGTGCGATATTGACGATTTCGACGAGGTTTTGAAAAAACTAATGGAAGATGCCGAGTTGCATAATCAGTGGATATGCATGCATCGAGTGAAGCTTCTTTCGTCCGAAGTTTGGCGCTGTACAGAAGAGTGCGAAGGGAGGAACTGTCTGCTGCTGAGGTATGCATCGGCGGACAAGGAAGCTGTTCCGTTGTTGCAGTTAATATGGAAGGATACTGAGGTAGGGGAGTAAGTGGGCTGGAAAAGACAAGCTTGAAGGCAGGGAGGAAGTAAGGAAAATGGTTTGGGAGGCTATGCTACGAGGAGTTTTCTAAAACTATACTCTTCCGGCTTCGAATGGGCCATATCATCGCCGAGCTTGAGCAATACAGATTACGGGTTTTGCAGACTTGGCAGACTTCGGACTTTACAAACCATAGATATTTGCATCCAAGGACTTTTGCAGACCTAGGACTTCTGCGTTCTTCTGCACTTTATATAGTCCATGCTGAAAATGCATGCATATAGCTTAGAATAAACGTACAGCTTATATGCAATGATTTGCAGACCACCGATTTTATAATTAAAATCTGCGCTTACAGCAGGCATGCTTTGCGCCCAGGGTTTGTATTCTCTATGCTCACAGTCTGCATTCATGGTTTGTATTATCTGCACCCACGGTCTATATTCTTTGCATTCAGTCTGTATTCTTGTCAAGATTTTTATTATTTATGCTAAAAGTCTGCATTCACATTTTTTATTCTTTGCATTCACAGTTTGTATTCCTTGCACCCGGTCTGTATTTTCTATACAGACAATAAGGGTAAAGATGGAATGAGCAAGGTAGTTGTATTGTTCTAGGAAGCTCAGAGCAACGTGAGGCTATATACTACGTCCCAGGCGTAAGAATTACCCCTCGAGGGTAGGGTAACCAGGGGGCTTAAAGTGCAAACTAAACTTTTGAGGCACCCTCGAGGGGTAATACTTAGGCCTGTACCATGGTACCTCTCCCAAGTGGTCTGTGCCACCTTATAGTAGCCTGGTGGCCTAAGGCCAAGACACATACTTACAATCTGCATCCATGGTCTATATTCTCTGCACTTAGTCTGCACTTACGTTTTGTATTTTTTTTACCCACGGTCTGTATATTCTGCACTCATAGTCTGTATTTTTTGCGCGGTCTGTATCCTTTGCACTCAGAATTATATTTTCTGCACCCACGTTCTATATAGCTTGTACTCACAATCTGTATTCTTTACACTCAGAATCTGCACTGACTTTTTTTTATTTTCTGCACCCACGGTCTGTATTACTATCCCCCCAATAAATGTCGGACCCAGTTTAGGCCTATAAATCATAGAGCGGTGATTTCTTATAGCTCAAAGCCCTGTCGACTCCACTGTATAGACTACGTAGTAAATACTGGTTCAAAGATCCTTTTCAAGGCTGAATCCTTATAAGTTGATTGGTTTAAGCCCTGGTAAAATCCCTTGCTAAATTATACTTTCGACATTTATTCATGGGGGGAGATAGTACTTATACTCTGAATCTGCACTCACGGTCTGTATTTTAGATACTCATAGTCTGCACCCACGGTCTGTATTCTCTATACTTATAGTCTACACCTACGGTCTATATTCTTTACACTTATAATCTGCACTTACGTTTTGTATTCTTTGCACTCACGATTTGTATTCTCTGCACTCACAGTCTGCACCTACGGTCTGTATTCTTTATACTCACAGTCTGCACCCACGGATTGTATTTTAGATACTCACAGTCTGCACACACGGTCTGTATTCTCTATACTTATAGTCTGCACCTACGGTCTATATTCTTTGCACTTATAGTCTGCACTTACGTTTTGTATTCTCTGCACCCACAGTCTGTATTTTCTATACCCACCGGCTATATTTTCTTTACTCACGGTCTTCATCTTCTATACTTACGGTCTGAGGGTCTGTATTTTCTGTACTTACCATCTGCATCCACAATTTGCATCCATAGTCTGCATCCATACTTTATATCCATATTTTAGATCTACTTACAGATACATCCAATTCTGCTACCCCTGCGCGAGACTGCCGCGAACAATTGATTTGTGCTATCACTATTACTACTACTACCATCACTACTATCACTGTCACAACAATCATAACAATCACAACAATCATAACAATCACAATAATCATAACAACTACAATAATCATAATAACCACAACAACCACTACTATAACCACGCGCGCCAAATTTCAGTCACCACTCCTTACTGCTCTCCTTATCTGCTACGAATACTTATCTATTACTCAGAGTAATCAGACGCGCTGAGCTTCAAGCTCCCCTTCCTCCTTTACAAGCTGATTTCCAGGCATTCCTTCCCGTCAACCTTACTATCCGACATCCGATCTATTTCAAACCCTATGGTCCGGCATCATCGACATCACTTTACGAGCTGACCTTTAAGCTCCTTTTCCTTTTCCGTCATTAGCCGACCTTCAGGCCTCCCTTTCCCCCTTACGGTCTAATATCATCGACATCAGGGACATCACCTCACAAGCTGGACGAGCCATAAGGATTTTGAGGGGGAGGATCACCCTTATGAGGAACATCACAAGCTGGAGGACATTACCAGCTGGAGGACATTACCAGCTGGAGGACATTACCAGCTGGAGGACGTCATAAGCTGGAGGATCACAGGGCTTTAAGGGAGAGGATTCCCTTCATAATCTTGGCTCTCGATTAATTGATCACTCGATTGAGAGAAGGCGAAGGACAGGACAGGGAGAGGGTGAGGGTGGAGGGGGGAGGGGGGGTGGCCTAGGAGGGGAGGGCAGAATTTTAGCGTGAGATATAATAGTCGGGTCGATTTATACGTGGTCTGCATTCACGGTCTGCATTTACAATATGCATTTACAGTTTGCATTTTCGATCTGCATTTATAATTTATACTTACGATCTGCACATATAATCTGCATTTATGATTTTTATTTATAATCTGCATCTATACCTAATCTGCATTCTCGGTCTGCATTTACAATATGCATTTATAGTCTGCATCTATAGTCTGCATCTATAGTCTGCATTTATAATCTGCATCTATAGTCTGCATTTATAGTCTGCATTTATAGTCTGCATTTATAGTTTGCATCTGCGATTTACATTTGCGATCTGCATATATAATTTATATTTATAGTCTGCATTTAGAATCTGCATCTACGTTCTGCATTTACAATATGCATCCATAGTCTGCAT